AACAGAGACTATGTTAACAATACATTTAAGGACGAATCTCTGGTAGTTTGTGCTGATATTGTGAAGTTATAGCTGCATACTTGAATTCAATTGCTGGACAAGATTTCCGGATTTTCCCACTCAGTGATACTTTACAAAGGGCGGTTGTACGTAACTTTTAATATTGAAGCTTACCATCATTATTTTGTTTACACATACATGGTTTCGGAGGTAAGTATTGACAATTAGGTAAGATTTTGTTAAAATCTGATGTTTTGGGCCAAAGGTCACAGATATCGCAGCTTAGCTGTAAACCACAACACAACGTAAAAACCGACTTTCTAAGTAAAGATCATCAAAGAAGAAGAAGAAGATGAAGAAAAAGAAAAAGAAGAAGAAGGAGGAGGAGGAGGAGAAGGAGGAGGAGAAGGAGGCGAAATCGGCGAAGAAGTAGAAGACTGACCTGATGCCCGTCTAACAAGTCTAAAATTGGTTCCAGGACATTCTTTGTGAAAAGAATGGTGTAGTATCAGCCAGTGATCTCCTCGCGTGTGTCATTAAGTCCCATTTTGGGAGAAAAAGGGAGAGAGAGAGAGAGAGAGAGAGAGAGAGAGAGAGAGAGAGAGAGAGAGAGAATTGACCAGCTGCTTTCTAAAATAACATGTCGTTCACTGCGAATATTTTGGCACGTCTCCCCCCCCCCCCCCACCTCACCCCACCCTCGAAGACGTAGTCCATCTGCCTAAGAAGCAAGAGTGTGCGCGCAAAATTGAAAACTTAAGAACAAGACTAAAGTCCAGAAGTGGACGAACAGCCAGACCTTGCCATCAGAGTTTACCGCCGGATAACGCAAAGAAGAAGAGGATTTGTTGAGGTTTATGGTAGGCTAGGAAATAGATACACAGTTAATGAACACAGTGTGATAAACTTGCAATCTCCATTCACAGCTTCATTGAAAAGAATGGAGCGGTTTTATGGTCTTTGGAGAGTGCAGCTGGATAAATCTGTCGGGTTTGAGGAAGTTGCACAATTATTTGGTGAGTTATCATCATCATCATCATCATCATTTCCTGTAGTGTTATTGTATACCACATAGGGCTCGTAGCCTATTGCGTTATATCACGTGGAATCATTTCATTATCATAGATGGAATCTAGTCCATCACCCTATGTCTCCCTCTCTCTCTGTCTCTCTCCCTCCCTCCCTCTCTCACTCTCTGTCTCTCTCCCTCCCTCCCTCCCTCCCTCTCTCCCTCCCTCCCTCTCTCACTCTCTGTCTCTCTCCCTCCCTCCCTCTCTCTCTCTCTCCTTCCCTCCCTCTCTCTCTCTCTGTCTCTCTCCCTCCATCTCTCTCTCTGTCTCTCTCTCTGTCTGTCTCTCTCTCTCTCTGTCTGTCTCTCTCTCTTTCTCTCTCTCTCTCTCTCTCTCTTCAACGTATCTTTATAATTTCTTTTGAACGTCGAGAAGACTTCCTATGCCTTAACGTATATAGTTCGGTCTCTGCCTCAGAGCTGTTAACATCCCGTCAAGAGCGTTACGGAAAGGACTAAGTTCCTTAACTCCAGTAATATTCTCTGTAAAAGATGCACTCGTGAACTAAAAGTCCCAGCTCGAAAATGAACTCCTAACCTTCAGAACGCGGGGCAAATGGCTTAACCAGGTTAGGTTTGAGTTAGTCTCCTCAAACAAAGTAGGTCACGTTTCATTCATAAGTTTGTTGGGCTGGTCTACTTTCCTGCAGGTTAGGGGTGTGTCGCTCTGTTGTTTGCTTTGTGGGTTGCCTTGCATTAACGTTTTTATTAGCGGCGTCCGTGACTAAGGCGTTGCGAGTCCGACTCGTGATCCAGCATACTGCGATCGAAACCCACTGCGTGCTGCGTGGATTTTTATCGTAGTATAGGACGTCGCAGGTCGACCCAGCCTCAAATAGGTACCAGGATGTCTGTCCTAGGGAAGTAAAGACGGCCGGCGTAATGCTGACCACTTTACCCACCGAGTGCCGTGGTCTGTAAAAATATGGGTGCTCTTCCCATATGCCCGATGCGCCTAAAGGCGTGAAAAGGGATCGTTACTTTTTTTTGTGGTCGAGAGGCTAGACGCTCGCCGCAGATCGGAAGGTCGTGGGTTCGCTCCCTGACGGAGCCGAACTTTTTTCAAAAATGACCTTGGCTCCCAGGTCGACCCAGCCTTGAGTGGGTACCGGGTGCAGTCACTGAAAAGTGAAGGCGGTCGGCGTGATACTGACCACATCACCCATCTTTTTCCGATTGGTCTATAAAAATATAGGTCTAGCCCTATATGCCCTATACGCCTTAAGGCGTGGAAAATGGTCCTTTACTTTTTATTTTTATTTTTACTTTAACGTTTTTATTCCCATAAAGAGAATGCCTGTGACATAGGTTGCAGCACTCTTTAGAGTAGCGGCGTCCGTGGCTAAGGCGTTGCGAGTCCAACTAGTAATCCATTGTACCGCGATCGAAACCCACTGCTGGCTGCGTGGATTTTTATCATGGTATGGGGCGCCGCAGGTCGACCCAGCCTAAATTGTGTACCAGGATGGCTGTCAGGGGGAAGTAAAGACGGCCGGCGTAATGCTGACCAAATTACCCATTGAGTGCTGATGGTCTGTAAAAATATGGATTCTTTTCCCATATGCCCGATACGACTAAAGGCGTGGAAAGGGATCTTTAATTTACTTTTTTTTTTTTTTTTTTTTTACTTATTCTTTAGAGTGGGGGAGGGGTTGTGTTAGGGCCAGTTTCTCCTTGTTTTTGGAGTTTTAAAAGTGCTTGCGTGCTGAAATATACAACACGCGATATTAATGGCATTGCGGAAAAATCCCCATAACTTTGTGTCAAAATCACGTAGCTCAAGGTCTACCGATCAGTAGTGAGCTAGTGTGTATATGGACGGTATCTGGGAAGACCCTAAGAAACCCTTAATCGCAGACTCCTTGTCTGAGATAGAGTACGCATCCACGCACCCGATGTCTGTCCTTGAACGAGCCTCCCACTGTCAATGATAATTATCTAATCCACATAAGATAAAAAGTTTAACTGTTAAACAGAACTGAAAAGAAACACACGCTTGTATTTGAATAAAAGGTCGGTCTTTGAAGGACGTGGGACTCTCGCGACTGTTGTGTCACTTTCAAAGCTAGATCACAGCAATGCTCCTCTACATCTACTCGTTGCTTACTCTTCTCTGTGTGGGAATCCTTTTAATTCTTCAATTTCACGCTTTGACGCCCGCCTGTGAGCCTCAAGGTCTTTGATTCAAATCCGTATCGTAAAGATGAATTTGTTTCCTTTACAAATTTGACCTTGGCTCCTATGTTGATCCAGCCTGTAATTAGTACCAAGTAAAGACCTAGGAAGTAAAGGCGGCCGACCAGGAAAGGGCAGGGAGGGGGGTGGGGTTACAAAGTCTAAAATATGATATGCTTGACATATTCGTTTGACACGTCATTGCTTATTTTATTTTGACAAATTCCAGGATGGACGGAGGAAAGACTGAAGATGGTTTCCTCTTTAGAGTACACAATGCTACTTCAAAGTTGTGGAGAAAGGGACAGGTGAGGTGGACAAGCAGTTTCTAGTGCAGAATATTGTTTTCATTTATTTGTGGATAGTTTTATAGATCTCTGTATAAGCCACATTATTTTTTTTTTTCAATCTAGTATATCTTCTCATCGACTTACGACCTATGCGACTTACGACCATCCGCGCTTAGTGTAGCAGGGTGGTGAAGCAGTTTAGCCTTATTAATAATTTTGGTTTTGCTGTATTTGCGAAACTAAAACTGGCAAGCTCCGAGGTCGGAGTCACGTTGGCTATAAAAGGCACGGACAAAAATAAAACGCTTTCGTGGCGATTTGCTTTGTGCTGTGTGCTCTGTATGCTATTGGTAAGCTGGGTTGTAAAATGAGGCATATCTAAGTCTAATTTCCCGTTGCGTAGCCCTCATGGCTTTTAACGCCACGTGAGTTTAGTGGACTGAGTCGAGAGATGGACTGGCTCACTGGTTTTAGTGTTGTGATGGTACGTTTCAATAAGTCAATTAGATCCAGGTTTCAATGTATATTTTGATGCAGAGTAGTGCTTGTAGTTCCTGCACCTGATCTTACTAGGTGCTGCTTAAGAAGTTATATGTGTGTAGTTATATGTGTGTAGTTAGATGTTAGACAACAAATGTTAATCGTTCACTAAAGAGTTTGTGTCTAATATTCACATAGTATCACTATTGTTGCGTTGCGAGTCCGACTCGTGAGCTAGCATACCGCGATCGAAACCCACTGCAGGCTGCGTGGATTTTTATCGTGGTATGGGACGTCGCAGGTAGACCCAGCCTAAAATGGGTACCAGGATGAACTGTTCTGGGAAAGTAAAGACAGCCGGCGTAATGCTGACCACATTACCTACAGAATGCTGATGGTCTGTAAAAATATGGGACGCTCTGCCCGTATGCCCGATGCGCCGAAGGGCGTGAAAAGGGAACTTTACTTTACTTTACTTTTATCACAATTGTTCGTTTAGGTCATCATATGTTGCCTTATGTCGATTGTGGGTGTAACACATTCCTGCAGTAGTAAAGTTTCTCTACTTGTAGACTTACATTTTGTTATTTAGTTAGTGCAGCTTGTTTTAAGTCGCTGCTAATTAGACTTCATACAGAACGTATACTGTCTGGGTTAGTACACAATAGTTCTTAATCAATACCTAACGTACATTTCATTTTTTTTTTTGGTTTTTTTTTGTTCCTTGGTACTAAAGCAGCTTAGGAGTGGGTTTTGGCTTACTCACCACGACAATCTTTTCTGGAGTTCTTATAGGCTTGATATAACTAAGCTGAATGACAATATTGTTGAAAAATATACATTTGACACGAACAGTTCAACTTACGGCCTGTTAGTCAGAATGGAATTCGATCGTAAGTCAAAGAGACCCCATATATTTAGCAGAAACGTGAACGATGAGAAAAAAATTACAAAATCCGACTGAAGTATTGGAAATGACGATACACAAAAGAATGTGTCGTCTTTAGTTAAAACTAAAGTAAGACAACATAGAGGTTTTGAAAGACTGCGAATGAAATAGTGACAGAAAAAAATAAAGGAATACATTGAATATTTTGGTCACATTAACTTTTTCTGATGAAATAATCTTCTTCCTCTTTTGTCGTCTCAGTGATACCAGTTTGTAGCCCAGTGTCGTGGTTTTCTGTATTTGTCTTGTTGTTCTCTGGTGGCTTGTGAGATTGATTTGATTATCTTGTTGCAGGTTTTAGTTACTCCATTTATCCATCTCTTTCTTGGTCTTCCTCTCGCCCTCTCAGATGTTCTACTGTAAAATGTCTAATTTGCAGTCTGGTCTGGCTACATTCACTTGATAACCGAACCATTTCATTCTCTGTCTGTCAGTATAATCCAGACTTGAACTTATTCCAACTTTCTCTCTAATGCTGGTAGTCGTAACCCTGTCTCTTCTAATGTTGTTAGTGACTTTGCGGAGACAGCATATTTCACATTTAGTTATTTTCTGTTCTAGTGCCGTATTCACTGTCCATGTTTGGCACTGATAATATTAAGTAGGGATAAGGATGCTATTATTCATTTCATGTTTAGCTGGAAGACATGTGGATGACTAATTAGTGGGGCTAACTGGTAGGTGACAGCATTTGCCTTCTGTACTCTGGCTTCTATCTATAAAGTATGCCATCTTCCAAAATATGCTTCCAAGATATTTGGAGATCGAGACAATGAAAGAAATAATAAAGAGATACACACAAAATATTTCATTAACTTTTTTCGATGAAACAATGAAAGAAATAATAAAGAATAACAACATACAATATTTTGGTTGCAAACAACCTACCATGACTTTATTGAGAACTCTTACTTGGTTGCTTTTGATTCTGTCTCAGAGAATTATTACGTTAGAAGTGGAGAGTGAACCGCTACTTTTACTTTCCAGCGTTATTTTGACCAAAACCACTTTGTGACGACTGGTCTATGCAAATGTAGGGTTTGCACTGTGTGTCCACAGTCCTTACTCGCACAATACTGCAGGTGACTGACTGCTTGCGTCAACGCTGAGCAGCAATTTTCATGGCCGACAGTTTCGATGCATTTGATGGCTGCCTTACGCATTTACTTTGTGTCTGCGAGCTTCACCATTTTGCCGAGACTGACTTTTTTTTCAATAGTTTTTACATGGGTCAGTAAAGGACGTTTTGTGTGATCTCCATTGACACAGGAACGAATTAGACAGGGAACGACCCATGTGCAGCAAAGTTAGAACCTTGACTCATAGACTGCAGGTTATGTCCGCACTGGCGTGGCCAACACGGGACTTTAGGAAAACCGGTAGCATCTTTCTTTGTCAACTAAGATGAGAAAGAAAATTCTTAAAAGCTATATAAATCCTAACTAATATAAAGTAAAAAAAAAAAAAAGTAAAGATCCCTTTTCACGCCTTTAGGCGTATCGGGAATATGGGAAGAGCGTCCATATTTTTATAGACCATCAGCACTCGGTGGGTAATGTGGTCGGCATTACGCCGGCTGTCTTTACTTTCCCAGGACAGCCCATCCTGGTGCCCATTCTAGGTTGGGTCGACCTGCGACGTCCCATACCACGATAAAAATCCACGCAGCTCGCAGTGGGTTTAGATCGCGGTAATATCAGTTGGTAAATTAGTGAAAACTTATTTGAAAGCTGCGGAGAAAGGTATTATATAGGCGAATAATTTGAATATTCTGGAAAGAAAATTTTTTTGTAAGGAAGATGTCTTGAAAGAAACTAATACACGAAGAGAACTGATTGCCCACATTAGAAAGAGACAATCTACATTCTTTGATCATGTGATGAGAAGAAGAAAACGGAAGTACATATCGAAAAGATGGAGGGGAGAATAGGCAGAGGGAGACTGAGAGAAAAGATGCTGGACAGTTTGACATTATAGCATAGAGGATCATCTGTGTCAGAGCTAATTGAAAGAATGCGAGACAGGATGTTAGGATAGACATGACTACCAACAGCACACGGCATGGACTAAGAAGAACGTAGCAGACAGAAGGGGACAGTATAATCGATTCTTTTTAGTCCATAATGTTTCAAGGCGTAACAATTTGTCTTTTGGGTTGATTTTTTTAACTTGAAAATCAAACATGATTAAGCTGGTTTCTGCATAACTGATACTTGGTTTCTTAAATTGAAGGTGCTTTTTGGATTATGGAATTGTGTCCACGGAATACTTTTACAAACTTGGAGAACCATTCGACTTTGCTGGCGTTGATGGACAAAGGCAAAAGTGGGTTATTCTTCGTGGTTTAACATGATGAGTGGGTAGATGGATGGATGGATGAATAAATGGATGGATGGATGGGCGTGTGGGCGCGTTGGTTGGTGTATGGAGGGTGATTGTTTAAATGATTGCTTAATTAGTTGGATTAGTGGATAGATGGTTAGATACGTGGATGAATGGAGTCAGGAAGGAAGGTAAGGGTCAATGGATGGATAGATGGATCAGTGGTTGCATGAATGAGAATTTGTTGTTGCTGTTGTTGTTGGTTGGAAGGTTATTTGTGTGATGTTTGCTGTTGGATTAATGGTTGGCCGCTTCAACAATTATTGATTTGATGCTTTTATTGGTTAGCTGGTTGGTTGATTCATTGTTAGTAGAAATTATAATTTTCGTTAATCATTGTTGACTGTCTGGTTGGTTGAATAACTGATTAGTTTATTGGTTTATTAATTTAGTGAATTATTAGTTGACTGTTTGATTGGCTGGTTAATTAACTGCTTAATTGTGTGGTTCTGTGAATAATTGGTTGACTTGTTTTTTGGTTAGTTGGTTGGTTGACTCGGTAGATGGCTGGTTAGGTGGTTGTAAAGTAAATATAAGGAAGGCTGCTTTGCTTATTTGATTGTTGATTGATTTAAGGAATAGTTAGCTTTTTGGTTGCTTGCATCGATGATTGGTTTGTGAGTTTGGAGAAATCTGTTTATAGACAGCTAGTATTACCAGTATTATTACTTTCTACCAAACACTTTACTTCAACAGTGCACAGTGACCCTGGAAGATGGCAAATTAGTCGAGACCTACGTTTCTGAAGAAGGAATCAAATGGCGAACCGATCGAGAGTTGAATGGCTCTAACATGAAAGCGGTCAGTTATATGTTTATTTCGCCTATTGATTCTAGAAAAAAGACAAGTAAATATCTCTTCTCCTATCATACAATCGGAAACGGTTCGAATATTATCACAGCACCGATTATATGTCCACATAGAAGATAAAAAATATTTTAGAAATAGCGCACACTTTCCATAGACTTATTACAACTACTACAGTTTACTGTAGTTAGAAATGTGGACATTCAGTGCTTGTAATGAATATTGTGATGCTATTGATAATGTTTGTCGGCTCTATGGCTAAGTCGATGCGAACGCTTCGTAATGCCGGGATGCCGGGTTTAATCCCAGCTGCGGGCCATGTGCCTTGCGTTGGTTTCGACAGTGGTATCAAAGAAGCCAACCGTCCAGAAAGCAATGGCAAACTACTGGATGTAAATTTGCCTAGAAAACAGCCAGGGACTGTTAGGGTTGGTTCTGCAATGTCCTGTGAAGGATACGCAACTAACCTTATTGATAATGTTTACTATTACTTGATTTCTGAATTAAAAGATTTAAGAATGGAAGGAGACTTCTAAGGGCAGAATGTTATACGGGCCTGGGTGCCCAATTCTTAACAATTTAACAATAAAGTTTTTTCGTTCGTTCGTTCATTCATTCTTTTGTCTCTTTACGTATCTTTTTTCGTATCTTTACCAACGACAACAACACAACAACAACAACAATTTGCAACCTTCTATTCTGCGATTCCAACATGAAATGAGTCGTAATTATTAAAAAATAAATGATATCACAATGTCAAGTGATTGCACAAGATGTAACGGAATGGAGAAATAAATCTTCGAGCCATATGTGACATATAATAACACAATATGACAATTAATGAGTTAATAATAAAGTCCAATCGAGAAGCACTGTTCTAGGAGAGTTGTAACCAGACTTAACCAACCCTCTAAGTCACCATTTAAATTGTTGCATCATTACAGCCCACCTAGCAATAGGTTATTCGTCCTTTTTATGAAGAAATTTTTTGTTATTTGAAGCCCCACCCTGGCTGTTGCCAGGGGCCACAATATAGGCAGGCCATAAATATGGCCAATTGTCTGAACGCGGTTTCTGGGACCTCTCCACGGTGATCCTCATTCACATGGTGGCACTTTGTGTCATCGGGTGTTTATCGCTTGTGTGATGTCCTGATGGGGTAGAAAGTCAGTCAGTCATCATTTAACTCGTTAAGTACCAAACAGTGAACCATTCATATCTTTTTTTTTTTAAATCCAGAAACCATAAATTGTAAATCCTTTGGCTCCGTACTATGGATACCGCAACCCTTCTGCTTTGATTCCATGATAGATACCGTAAATCTGGGAAATATGTGGTTTTGATAATTTCTAAGACGTACCCCCGTGTACGTTCCGGGGCCCCTTGTCGGGTGAGAAACAAGAATTAGACCCACTGCCTCCCCAAAACGCATGGTCGTAAGAGGTGGACTAATTGGGGAGTTCCTTTGAAGTCGGAGTGCATCATGCCGGAGAGGCAAGGAACCAACAGTCTGTATTCAAGAGAATGAGATACTGTAAAAAAACTGATGCACAACGACAACACTCATGCTCTGGAGCTAGGACTTGCAGTTCAGTCGTGGACGAGCAACCAAGAACTTTTCCGCCAGTAGTGTACAGCTGGTGAACGCGAAAGAAGAAGAAAGAGAAGATTTCTAAGATACTAAATAGTATTATGTGCTTACTCGTCTTGTCTATCTAGGGTGACGTAAATTTTTTTTTAAATTCTACATGTTATGTTAGTTTTTAACAGATACAAACAAAAACTTGGACCATACACACAAACGCACATACGCACATCACATACATACATAACTACATAACATACATAACATACATACATACATCAACATACATACATACATACATACATACATACATACATACCATACATACATACATACATACATACATACATACATACATACATACATACATACATACATACATACATAACATGCATGCCCATACATACTACATAATACATACCAGTACATACATACATAGATACCATACATACATACAACATACATACATACATACATCATACATACATACATACTACATACATACATAAATACATACACGTAATTACATAACAAGACAATACAATACCTCATACATACATACATACATACATACATAATACATACATACAATACATACATACATTACATACACAATACATACATACATACATACAGACATACATACATACATACATACATACATTACATACATACATACATACATACATTACATACCTACATACATATACATACATACATACATACATACATTACATACATACATACATACATACATACATACATACATACATACATACATACATACATACATACATACATTACATACATGCATGCATGCATGCATGCAGTCATGCATGCATGCATGCATGCATGCATGCATGCATGCAGCATACATGCATACATACATATAATACATACATACATAATACATACATACATAACATAAACATACATACATACATACATACATAACCTACATACATACAATACATACATACATACATACATACATACATACATACCTACATACATACATACATACCATACATACATACATACATACATACATACATACATACCATACATACATACATACATACATGCATGCATTTGTACTAGGCTGTACCGAATATTCGCTTCGTATTCGCTCGCGGGCTGAATAGTGGACCTATAACTAGTTCGGTATTCAGAGCCGAAATAGTTGGGTTCAGGCTGAAATACGAATAGTGGTTACCTCACAACCGTTTCTGGACTGGTGGAAAAAAAAAAAACATCAAGACTTTCCACCTTGGTTTATACTGTGAAGCGTTATCTTTTGTGCACCACCTACGAGCGTACCAAGTTAGAGCCCCTTTATTTCCATCTTGCATTGTGTTGCGAGTAGTATAGTGTTTTTAGGTGTAGAAACAAAATGCAACACTTAAAAATGTAAGAGGGCAGAAAAGCAAGTGTTTTAGTGTTGTCGGCTTGATTTCTTTGAGTGGAGTGTCCTCTTCGTTGATTCTTTGAAGTAACGGGAGTTCGTCATCATTTATGGGTGTCGTATCTGTTCTTTCGTCGTCTTGTGGAAAAGGCAGCGGCTGAATGTTTTGATCGACGTTCTGTTTCTTGATTGTCTTTGTTGTTTGATCTTCTGGCGTTGGCCGCCCGGCGTCTGGTTTCGTGAGCTCGCGGGGGGGGGGGCGACTTGTAATGACGGCATTGTTTTCTTCGTCGGCTTTATTTTTGTTTTTGATGTTTCGCCTTGCGGGTTTTCATCTTGACTCTCTGTATTTGTCGTATTTTCCTGTTTAGTACAGCTGGAAATACCTTCAGTGAGACAAAAAGCTGGCCTAATGCTGACAACATGGAAAGAAGGTTTTTCATGGAGGTGTGTCAGCACACGAACTAATACGTGCTGCAGGAGATCGCAGATTGTGGCGAGACATAATCGCCCATGCCAGCCGGCAAAGCACATGATGATGATGATTCACTATTCGTATTCGTATTCGGCCGAATAGTTGGTCCAGCTATTCGTATTCGGCTGAATAGTGAAAATCACCATTCGGTACAGCCCTAATACACACACACACACACACACACACACACACACACACAGAGACAGACAGACAGACAGACAGACAGACAGACAGACAGACAGACAGACAGACAGACAGACAGACAGACAGACAGACAGACAGAATGACGTACATACGTGCGTACGTACGTGCGTACGTGCGTCCGTGCGTCCGTGCGTGCGTACGTATGCACGTATGCACGCATGCACGCATGTATGTATGTGTGTATGTATGTATGTATATATGTATGTATGTATGTATGTATGTATGTATGTATGTATGTATGTATGTATGTATGTATGTATGTATGTATGTATGTATGTATGTATGTATGTATGTATGTATGTATGTATGTATGTATGTATGTATGTATGTATGTATGTATGTACGGAGGCAGACAGGTAGGTAGGTAGGTAGGTAGGTAGGTAGGTAGGTAGGTAGGTAGGTAGGTAGGTAGGTAGGTAGGTAGGTAGGTAGGTAGGTAAATGTAATAATTACGTATTACGTGTATTTGATCTATGTATATATATATATATATATATATATATATATATATATATATATATATATATATATATATATGTGTGTGTGTGTGTGTGTGTGTGGTGTTTGTGTTTACGTATACATGTGAGTATGTATTTAACAGTTCAGTATTTATCTTTAACAGATAACAACATTTGAAATAAGTGGTGCCAAATGTATTCAGTGGTTGACCAAAGCCTGACGACTACAAACGAGTGAACTAAAAAAACCAGAACTACCACATTATATCTTGCATCCACAAGACATCTTTACCAGAGCTATCAAATTATATCCTGCATCCACGTGACAACGTTGACCAGAACTACCATATTATTGTCTGCATCCACGTGTCATCGTTGACCAGAACTACCACAATATATCCTGCATCCACGTGTCATCGTTGACCAGAACTACCACAATATATCCTGCATCCACATGTCATCATTGACCAGAACTACCACATTATATCCTGCATCCACGTGTCATCATTGACCAGAACTACCACATTACATCCTGCATCCACATGATATCATTGACAAGAACTACCACATTATATCCTGCATCCACGTGTCATCATTGACCAGAACTACCACATTACATCCTGCATCCACATGATATCATTGACAAGAACTACCACATTATATCCTGCATCCACATGATATCATTGACAAGAACTACCACATTATATCCTGCATCCACATGATATCATTGACAAGAACTACCACATTATATCCTGCATCCACATGATTTCATTAACCAGAACTACCACATTATATCCTGCATCCACATGCCATCATTAACCAGAACTACCACATTACATCCTGCATCCACATTACATCGTTGACCAGAACCACGGCCTTCTCTATTTATAGGCCAAACAGGTCAACGGGGATTCCCGTTCTTGTGCAAGAATGGAGTCCCTCTGCGTCCACAGTTTTTATCTAGGAGATTTATACACAAATTAAACTAGTTTCATTAATTTTCGACATATTTTATAGAACTATACGTCATTTTTAAGGTAAATAAGTGTGCTATTTAAATATAACAATAAAGCCTCTTACAAACAAAAATGCTTTTGCTACAGTCAACATGAACATAAACATCAAAAACGTTTGGATATAAACTGAAAGTTATTCCAGCAAAAGTAAAGAAATATCAGAAATACTGCTGTGAAACATACACATGGCATATATAACATAAATATAAATGATTGATGGTTATTATTACTATTAGTACACTACTACAATATATAATTATACTGTTATTTAAAAATTAGTAAACAAGCACAGTCAATATGAAATTGATATGTGCAATAACTTGTCACCCAGAGCAGTTTTCTTAACAGTACTTCTAGCACTACTAAATATTTATCCTCAAGGTACACACAGCACAAACAAATTTGTCCAGTTTCATCTTGTTGAATGAAATCAATTCCTTATCACTGCAAATTTTTTGGTAACTGTTTAAAAATACGTCACACATAGTTCTGATTACTGCATGCAACAACGCGTATAAGTATAATAAATGGTATATTATTTTAAAGGTAATTAAAGCAAATTTAAAAAAAGACCATATAACTGCAAATGCTATGCAGCATACACATATCAAACACAAAAATTCCCCATATAGATACCGGATCTCGTTGTTCAAAACAGTGTCTGGAACAAGACTAAGGCCCAGAATTAGATGAACAAACAGAAGTTTCTGCCAGAGTTTACAGGCAATTGTTCGCAAAGCAAAAGCCAATTTACAAAAATTAACACAGACCGTACAACTGCAAATATGCATAAGAAGTAGATGAACAACCAAAAGTTTCTGCCAGAGTTTACAGCCAGTGTTTGTGAAGCATAAAACAACAAGTTGAGGATTAATTTTATTAGTTTACTTCTATAACATATAATTATACTGTTAGTCAACAATTAGTAAAGAGGCAAAGAGTGACTTTCTGTGAAAGGTTAGTTAGTAAATTAAATATAATTCTCACCTACTTACCCAGAGCTCCGAAATATCTTGACACTATTTATTCACAGTGTAGTTGCACTATTTATACACAGTCAGTATGAAAGCAATATCGTGTATATCCACTTCACAATATCCGCTTGTCTATTTGTAATACGAATACATTCAAAACACAGAACTTCGTAAGCACATTAAAATGTCACACGATGCAACACATGGAAAGGGCTTTCAGTAACCAGTTTCCGAGGGATTCCTTTCAAAAAGTGGATTATTTAGTTGTTAGGCACAATTAGAGACGGCGTTGACCAGAACTACCACATTATATCCTGCATCCACATGACATCGTTGACCATAGCTACCATATTATATCCTGCATCCACATGACATCGTTGACCATAGCTACCATATTATATCCTGCATTCACATGACATCGTTGACCAGAGCTATCACATTACATCCTGCATCCAAATGACATCGTTGACCAGAGCTATCACATTACATCCTGCATCCAAATGACATCGTTGACCAGAGCTATCACATTATATCCTGCATCCACATGACATCGTTGACCAGAACTACCACATTATATCCTGCATCCACGTGACATCGTTGACCAGAACTACCACATTATATCCTGCATCCACATGACATCGTTGACCAGAACTACCACATTATATCCTGCATCCACATGACATCGTTGACCAGAACTACCACATTATATCCTGCATCTACGTGACATCGTTGACCATAGCTACCATATTATATCCTGCATCCACATGACATCGTTGGCCATAGCTACCATATTATATCCTGCATCCACATGACATCGTTGACCATAGCTACCACATTATATCCTGCATCCACATGACATCGTTGACCAGAGCTATCACATTATATCCTGCATCCACATGACATCGTTGACCAGAACTACCACATTATATCCTGCATCCACATGACATCGTTGACCAGGAACTACACATATATCCTGATCCACATGACATCGTTGACCAGAACTACCACATTATATCCTGCATCCACATGACATCGTTGACCAGAACTACCATATTATATCCTGCATCCACATGACATCGTTGAGCTGGGTCCAAAATCCCCATTTGTGTGTAGAATCTTACTCATTATTTATTGACCTGCGTTTTTGAAATTTTTTATTTGGGCGGTTGAATCTTTAGAGATTCCGTATATTGTCAACGTTTATTAATCTGTTATTTATAGATGCGGTCTTACCCTGTTTTTTAACATGCATATTAATTGTATACATAAAGATCATCATCATCATCAAGTGCCTTGCCAGCTGACGTAGGCGTTCATGCATTTGCACAGATCTCGGTCTTTCCTGTTCTATATAAATTTCACTGATGATATTTCTCCATGCCACTGTCTTAAGCCATCCGCCATCATTTCTCTTGGTCTGCCTCTACCTCTTCTACCAGTGATCTTTCTCGTCTTCACGATATTCTCTAGTGCTCATTTTCTCAGCACATGACCAAAGAACTTTGTTTGTCTCCTTCTCATTGTTGTTTTGCATAAAGATACATGTAAATAAACTCGGTATTTAATAAACAGTTTGATAAAATGTATTGCCCGAAATCCATCCTTTTCTTCTTCTTAGCATTCACGTGCTCTAAAATTTGACGGGAAGTTTTGGTGGTTCGTCCGCTTCTAAACTTTGAGCTTGTTCCAGGACTTGATTTTCGTGTGCACATCAGTTTTACAGATTTGGCTTGTTTGTACTCAGAATGACAGCTTCACACCTCTAAGACAGTTGCATTCCGACTTCGAAGGAACAACACGTAATAAATCGATTGTTACGACATGCTTATCAGGGAGGCAGTAGAGCTGTTCCTCTCCCGCGCCCAGTGGGTACCGGCACCGTCATGAGGAGGTTGCCAGATAAAGCGGACCTTTCATCTGTTCTTTTGGTTCGGCTTGCTTTGAGAAAAAAAAATCGTCACGTTCAATCAGTATCCTAAGAGGGAACTTTTGGTTATAATTGTGACTAGGTCATCTGTGCCATATAAAATGGCCTAGTATTGCTAGCCACCAAGTAGCCCTGACAAGCACTCCTGCGGTGTTGATGCGATCAAAGGAGACAGACCTAAATACTGTCTCGTCCAGCGACGAAGTCTTAACATGAATGTCAATGTTAAGTAACGGGTGATAAAAAAAAGTTCATAGTAATTTCATACCGTGCCATCTAATCCGTGTTTAGGCTTAAACGCCAGTTTTGTTAAAGTGCCATAAAAAAAAAAAAATAAAAGTTTAATATTACTGACCATTTACATGTAATTCCTGTGAGTTGTAGGGGAATATTGGATTACCCGCGACCCATAATACCGTTAAGGCGACATTTAATGTATAACTGGTTTGGTTTGCTTTCCGAAAAAAAAATCGTCACGTTCAACGAGCATCCGCATCCCCTAAGGAGGAGCTTTAGGTTATAATTGTGACTAGGTTATGTGCGGGATATAAAGTGCATTGCCGCCTGGCGCGGGCGATCATGACTCTCCACAATTTGTAATCTTCAACATCTTGCGTTAACTCCTGCGCTGAATTTTCCATGCCATAATAAAAAGCTGCCAATTATCGTTTCGTTTTGTTTTCCTCTATCTCTTTTTTTCACAGGTCTTTACAGTGGTACCGAGAGCTGGCCGTTCAGAAAGCAATGGCAAGCTACTGTACGTAAAATTTGTTTACAAAACCCACAACAGTCAAAAATGCTAGGGTTGGTTCTGCAAAGTCCTGTAAAGGATACGCAACTAACTTCTTTACAGTGATCACACCTTGTTCCAGTCTCCTTCTGATAAAATTACCAACATATAATGGCTGCCTCTTTGTGTTTTGTAATAGGGAAACGTCATTACTTGTTTGTCAGGAGGTAGGATATTGCGTATTAGTTAAAAGGACTGAAATCAACAGGTCTTAGCAACCTTGACATCCCCTTTCCAGAACCATCACTTATTTATTGGCAGTTTGATATTTTGATATTTTGCATGTAAATGAGTAACCTTGTTATACAAATAGCATCTGATGTAATTTTTTGACGTGCCCTGTCAAAGAGATCGTAGAAACACTCGCTTTCTGGAAGGCCAACTATCAATTATATTAGTTTATTTAGGTGTAGAAATATCTGATGCAGTCGAGACGCAATTAGAAAAACTCACACGAGAACTAAGACAGTGAACAGGTTCAGTCGTATTGGAATATTTCAGAAGTAGTAGTGAG